ATCCAAAAATTTTTAAAAATAATTTTTTATTTTATTTATTTTTGTAAAGACTTTGCGAGACGAATGACACTTCGTCGCGCAAGACTTTGTGTACCGAATTATTGTCTTTCGTCAAGCAAAGTCATGCATAATTTTTAAAAATAATTTTTTATTTAATTTATTTTTGAAAAGACTTTACGAGACGAACCACACTTCGTCGCGCAAGACTTTGCGCGACGAATTTAAGTGTTTCGTCGCGCAAAGTTACTTTTCGCGACGATGCTTTGTCGTGGCGCAAAGTGACTTTGTGCGACGATTTGTATTTCGTTGCGCAAAATTTAGTCGCGTAAGACTTTACGTGACAAAGTTTAATTTTCGTCGCGCAAAGTCACTTTGTGCGACGAATTGTGTTTGGTCGCGCAAAGTTTGGTCGCGCAAGGGGTTTTTTTTACTAGTGAAAGTATATCTTATATTAGGATAAGCATCACAAAAATAAGATGCCCATCCTAAACCAAACAAAAGTGAACTACCTGTACCTAATAGATTAGGGCATACAACACAAACAGAGAAACCAACAAACTCAAAAAACAAGGAGCAAGGGATTGTAGCAGATGCTTTACAAGGAATCTTGAGAACAATTAATATGATGACAGCAATATGATACCTGATTAATGTGTTTTTTAGTGGAATAAGTACAATTAATTTTAACCTAGAGCTGATGAGAGGATGGATGCGATGTTCTCATCTTATCAAGAGGCATGTTGCCTATATATAGGTACAAGGGCCAAACTGGTTTCCTCAAATCCTATATGTCTTAGCTATATTATTACTATTATCATTGTTATTTCAGTTAATAAACTGGTTTTTTATTTTTATTTTGTGTGGGAAGAATGGCCAAGTCTGGTAAGTTGGAGACGAATGTTGAAATCAAGTCTCATGCCGATAGGTTCCACGAATTCTTCGCACAAACGCCATATGAAATATGAAATATCAGTCCTGACAAAGTTCCGAGTCATAAATTACTTGAAGGTGAATGGGGTAAAGTGGGTTGTGTCTTCTTGTGGAATTATATAGAAGGTAATTAAGCTTGCTCCAAAGATTGTTTGACCATCATGTCATGTCACAAATATGCATATGGATTAAACCATGTTTTCAAATGATGAGCAACATGTATGTTTTTTGGATGAACTAATTATTGCTTTTGCCAAATACACAGATGGGAAACCTACCTTTTCCAAGGAGTTAACTGAAGCCATAGACGACGAAACTCATTCGGTGACTTTTACAGTCCTTGAAGGAAACCCTCTGGATCGTTACAAGAGCTTCAAGATTACTCTTCAAGTTAGTCCAAAATCAGGCGACATTGACAATATTGCTGATGAAGGCAGCATGGTGCATTTGGTGCTTCAATATGAAAAGCTGAACGACAGTGTTCCAGACCCACATCTCCAGCTCCAGTTGGCAGTTATTCTCGTCAAAGAGACTGATAATTTCCTTAACCAAGCATAATCCAATTGACCATGCAATAATAAAAAGTTCAAGTTCAAGTTAATCATGCTTGCATGTGTTTTTCTCCTTCTCTGTTTTGTATAATATGTTTGTGTACACGTGTGTTGTTACAATTGTGAAATCTTGATCATTACCAGCAAATGCAAAATGAAAGAAAATTCAAGCTGAGAAATCTTGATCAACTTCCCAATTGGAGTGTGTTCAATTGTTTCTTATAATATTTAATTTCTCAACGACCACTCAGACAGTTGACATATCTGTATGATTCACTTGCAAGGATTTAAAGCAAAAAGAAATTGTAAATAAAGCATTTAAGCTTTCCAAATAATATACCTAAACGTCACTAAAGATTTTGTACATCCTGAGACAATTGAAATTTAGTCCTCTACCACTTCCAAGAAGCCTGCCCATAATTTTTAAACTCCTCCCCACACAAAATTATTGTCGTGATTGTCGTCAGCCCTATTACTTAACTTTTATGTCGTCAGCCCTTAGGGGGTTGTATCCAATTCTAACTTTTAAAGACTTTTTTTAAGTGAGTGACTTTCCTATAGTTGACAGATTCTTAATGACTTTTACATACTTTATAGAGTTAAAGTGACAAACTTTCATATACTTTTGTCATAGAGTTTTATAGACTTTTAAATACTTATTTTTATATTTATTTTACGAATAGAATTTATCTTTTAATATGTTGAATTAACTAGTCGGCATGCATGGAACAAAAAACTAGAAAAAAAAAA